AGTCCACGTCCGGCCGGATGCGCGTCAAGGACAAGGACGGCAACGTGCTGCTGGACACGAACGTGTAGGACCGCGGTGTGTGATCATGGAGCAACACTAACTTGATTTTCTTGTTAAAAATGTACACTTCTTGTGGATTCTGTGGTTTAATTTATATTTACTGTGCGTGTGTGTGTATGGCAAAGATTACACTTGGATTATAAAATAAAATTTATAGCTTTTTAGGGAAAAAAAAAAAAAAAACCTCCCCAAAATGCTTCCCAGAAACGCTTGTGAAGGGCAAGCTTCGTGCCGGGCCTGACTATGCAGCCGCTGCTCCTCTTGACCGACCCGGCAGGGACACGGCTGCCCGGGGCGGCCCATCGGCCTCGTTTGCTGCGGCTGCCGCCTCGGCCGCTGCCGGCAGGTAGCTGCGTCACGGCCCTGACGTGACCGAGCGCCTTCGTGCCTCTCCACACGTAGAGGAGCACTTGAAAACGTCACAAGCGTCCCCTTACGCTCCTTAGTGTGGGTCGTCGTGGCAGCCCTGTGGGGGATGTCGGTCGGGTGACTGTCCTTAATTCCAGTTGCCAGATGAAAAAAATTGAAGCTCAAAAGGTCTAAGTGGGTTTTTTTTTAGGTCATAAAAGAAAGGCTTTTAACAGATCCCAAACTAGAACGGTTTTTGCAGCTCTCGATTCTGTGTATTATGAAAAACAGTATTGAAAGATAATCAACTATTCGTATGTAAAAAGTAGTCAGTGTCACACATAGTGTGGTACTTGCCCCAGTAGACGTTTGTGCCTCTACTGCCGCAGTCTGAGCCACCTCCGTGCCCCACCTGGGTCTCCCTGCTGCCATCGTCCCACCCTCCGGCGCTCGTGCTCACAGCGGCGGAGGCCGTGGCCGAACTGATCGGCAGATCTTGGCGTGCCGGCGCTCTGCTCTGTGCCTGGTTCTCTCATGCGCAGGATGTGCTGTGATACGGCCTCCTAGACCCTCCCCTGATCAGCCCGCCCTCCCGCTGACTGCCATTCTCTCCTCTCCCACCTGCCCCCGGCCCCTTCCTCTTCCTCGTCCAGACCCACTCCCCAGACTTTGTCTTCTCCCAGACAGCAGGGCTCTGCCCGGCCATCCTGCCGACATGTCAGCTTTCCTGGCTGGCCCGGCCTCCATGCCCCAGCCCCACATTGTCATCATAGTTACCCCCCACCCCCAGTCCCCCTCGTTGCTGTTTTGCTCCCAGTGATCATCTGACAGGTGTGCGACCTGCCCCGTGCCCGCATGCCTGCATGAGGGTGAGGACTGATGTGCTTTTGGTCACCGCCCTACAGCACGGTGCCTGTGCAGGATAGATGCTCAGCCAGATGTTGACGGAACGAGTCTTTGTTTACGTAAAACCGTCAGTATTGACTTTGTGGAAGCAAATGGAGAGAGAGAGTTGGGATCCAAGCCGATCCTTAGCTGTAATATAGGAGCAAGTGGCCACCTGAGCCGAAGCTCGGGCTCCGCCGCTTGATTGTGTGTGTGAAAATCGAAATGACACCCTCCTGTACTGTTAGGCTGACACGGACTTGAGCCTGCGGAATTGCTAGGGTGCGCTCAGACGCTTAAAAACAACCGTCACTGATCAGAGGCTCTTCTGAGACTGCTGATTTCCTTGCTCCTGGTACGGTTGCGGTTCGTCTGAAGGATGAGTTGTAGGGGACTGAGTCTGAAAATATTTTCAGTTAGGCTTGTCATTTGCCAGCTGTGTTGTATCCTGTGTTATTAGCAGCGTGTGTCTTATGACACTATGTCGAGATTTAGCATAAATTCCCACGCTCATCGAAACATAGGGTACGTTTGGAAATAGCTAACCCTTAAATTCACATATTCATCATGCTTTATGGTTTCTTTTTTCCCCCTTTAGTGTTGTCCGGAGTATCCAAGCATTGGAAACAGTCATATTGGGGGACCATGAACGGCCTACGGTGGTGTACACAAACATAATTAATACGCTCTCGGGGCGTAAGTCCGTCTCCGCCAACTGCAGAGCGTACTGAAGGATGGCGCCGCAGGCTTCGGCCATGTGAGGTCTGTCTCAGTCCCAGCGGACTCTCTTTAGAAATGCAGATAAAGAAGATGAAGGACATCGGGCAGCAGCTGTTGACTCCGCAGGTGAACGATGGACGTAGCTCTCTGACCATGTCGCCCAGGCAGCCCAGTGCCGACAGAGCGACTCGGCCGGACGGGCAGGATGCTCAGACTCTCTTGTATCAAGGCTCAGAGGCAGAGGCTGCCGCGATGCCCACCGCTACGTGCGTCAAGTGCAAGAGCGTGCACAGGGTCCCCCTTCGGGACTTGAGAAAGGGTCCTGGGCAGAGCCCAGCGGAAGACAGGTACGTGTGCTTCCCCTGCAGCCTCGGCGGGGCGCCCCCCAGCTTTCACTTTGGGAACGGCGACCCCGGCGCTGCGCAGGTGGGGAACAAAACGGAGACCGTCTCAAGTGCGGTCAACAAGTTCAAGGTAAGGAACTTCAAGCCCGGCAAGTACTACTGTGACAAATGCCGATTTTCCACGAAGGACCCTCTGCAGTACAAGAAGCACACGCTCCAGCACGAAGAGATCAGGTTCATTTGCTCCCACTGCAGCTACGTGTCCTACACCAAAGGGGAGTTCCAGAGGCACCTGGTGAAGCACACGGGCATCTTCCCGTACCAGTGCGAGTACTGTGACTATGGCGCCATCCGGAACGACTACATCGTCAAGCACAGGAAGAGAGTCCATGAGCGGGCTGGCGGGAAGCGGCCGCCCAAGACGGCCGCCAGGCTGGAGCCAAAGAGAGCGGGCGCGTCGAGGCAGAGCGCGGAGCTCCCGAGGGCCTGCGACCCGGGCCTGGCGCCGCACGGCAAGCTGTCGGACCAGCTCTCGAGGTTCTCCCTCCACACTGACAGAGACCGGACGCGCACCCTCGCGCTGCCACCCGAGGCGAAGGGCCACCAGAGAGACGTGGTGTGCGTCCCAGACAAGGCCACCCTGCTGGAGCCGAGCGCGGTGTCTGTGCTGGAGAACAAAAGCGTGGAGGTGGAGGTGCTGTCCCCCGCCGAGGAGCCCGTGCAGCCGGGGATGCCGCTCACCGTCGTGGCCCCCGCCGAGCTGGTGGTCCCCGCCCACTGCCTGGCCCAGCTGATAGACGTCAAGGTTGTCAACGGGACGCAGCAGCTCGTTCTGAAACTCTTTACCCTGGAGGAAAACAGCTGCCTGGAGGCCGGCGGGGGCGATGCAGGTCGAGCCCAGCGGATGGCCAGGGAGAAGGGCCCAAGCGAGCAGGAAAAAGCGGTGTCTGCGGATCGGACAAAGCCGCGGACCGTGGAAGGGAGCGTCGGCGACTCCGGGGGCGCCGGGCATCTTCAGCCAGCCGTGCAGAGACAGCTGAAGAGCGTGAAGTGGGTGAGGTCGTACGACTTTTTCATGTCGAATTCCGGCGTGCGCAGCTCTGGGGAGCCCCTTCTCGCCTCCGACAGGGCCGAGGATGCGCAGAGAAGAAGTCACGTGTTTCCGCACAGAACGGCCCTTCCCCCCGCCGCCTTGAAAGGTCACTCTCCGTCATCTGGAGAGAAAAGCAGCGTCTTGTGTGGTCTCGGCGCCGCCTCAAACCCGTGTCCGTACAAAGCCGCCATCTCTTTCACTGAAGACGGAAGACACCTGCACAGGGACCCACAGCGGTTACTTCCTCTGGCTGCGTCTCCTGCTGCCATCTCCTACCCAGGAGAAAAGGGCTTGTTGCCCATGAGCAAAAGTGACTTGGAATCCCGAAGCGAGATCAGCATTCCGGTGACAATGGTTCCGTCTACCAGGAAGCTGAAAGCCAGCCAGGCGGAGGACCACACGGCTGTTTCAAACCTAGGCCAGATTTCCGCTCAACATAAAAGCGAGTATTTACACATAAACATAACAGGGGACAGAATGAGGTCTCAGCAGCCTGGCCACAGACCTCTGGAGGTCAAGAATGTGGAAAAGACCGGCGACTCTTTCGAGGGCCCGGTCATCTCGTCCGTCTTTTCTCTGAGCTCCGGATCTGAGGACGTCCCCGAGGGCGTTAAGTGGAATAGCTCGACGTCCAAAATAAAGTCCATCGAACTCTTGCGCAGGAAGATAGCTCAGTTAATCGAGTCCTGTGGCAGGCCCTCCTCCCTGGCCGCAAACAGTGCCCATCGCCGCCCCGTAGGGCCGGCATCGAAGCTGACACCGAAAGCTGCCCCCGAGGGTGTTCAGGAAATTAACGTGGCTTTTGCCGGCGCTGGCTATTCCCGGGGTTCGCTCCCCAAACCTCAGGATGGTGGTGGCGTCAGTGCCCAGCGTACCCATCAGCAGATGTACCCCCAGTTCGTAGAAGGCAGCAGTGGGAAAGCTGACAGCCGAGGAAACCGGAAGGCTCCGGTTGCCACTCCAGTGTTGATCCCCAAGGGGGCAGTGTTGAGGCTCCTCAATTCCTCCAAGGATGCCCGCATCATAGAGGCTACTTGTGAAGCACCTGTCAGCATCCCTTGCGCTGAGACTCGGTTAATAAAACCCATTCCGTTCTGCCCAGTGAAACAGACAGACTCAGACCTACAGCCTCTGACAAGTGAGCGGAGGCCCGTAGACGCGTCCCATAACATTGACACGCCTCAACGGCCTAAACCAAGAAAAGAGAGTATGGTTTGCAGCAGCGCCCCGAAAAGAACCAGCCCCCTATACGGGCAGCAAGGAAGCAGCGAGCTGAGTAAGCAAGGGAGACTGCTTTCCAGAAGTCTTTCCCTGAGTAAAAATAAAACCAGACAAGTAAGCTCGACCAAGAGGAAAAGCAAAATTCAGGCAGATCCCGTCCGCTGTTTCAAGGACCCTTCGATTTTTCAGGTCGCTAGACAGCTCCGGCTGATAGCGGCCAAACCGGACCAGCTGATTAAATGCCCCCGTCGGAACCAGCCCGTCATAGTGCTCAACCATCCCGACGTGGACTCGCCAGAGGTGACCAACGTGATGAAGGTGATCAACAAGTACAAAGGCAACGTCCTCAAAGTCGTCTTATCGGAGAGGACCAGGTGTCAGCTAGGCATCAGACGCCATCACGTGCGGCTGACCTACCAGAACGCGGAGGAGGCCCGTCACCTCAAGAGGCAGATGATGCTGAAGATGAAACTGAAGAAGGTGCATAAGAACAACTACCAGGTGGTGGACCCCTCGCCCGACGATTCACAGTGCATATTTAAGTGCTGGTTCTGCGGGCGGCTGTACGAGGACCAGGAAGAGTGGATGAGTCACGGCCAGCGACATCTCATAGAAGCGACCAGAGACTGGGACGTTCTTTCTTCCAGGGGGAAATAAGTTAAAAATTGGCATTTGAAGCAAAAATGATGTGAGTTTGTTTTTGTTTTTGTTTTTTGTTTTTTTAACGTTTATTCTGGTTTGGGTTGGGATTTTTCTCTCCCCTCCCTGACCCTAGAGGAACAAAACAGATTGTAGGAAATGGGAGGATGGCTCTTTAGACCCCTCGTAGGAGCGATGGGACCCAGGAGTCCGGCGTGACGCGAGACCTGTGACTGGAACTTGGAAGGTGTGTGAAGCCCCCGAGACTGTGCGCACAGATTCACGAATCTGCGTTTTTCTGGAGAGAGGTGAAGCTCTCAGCAGATTGTCAGTAGGACCTGAGGCTTGTCCTTGTTCAGGGTCCTTTTTGTTCAGGGTCCTTTTTTTCTGAGCAGACACAGAACCTTGTGATGCACGCCAAGGGCGAGGCGAGAGTGTTCTACACCTGCTCCTTAGGTAACCAAGGGCTACTGAAGAGTGATACCCCTGTTTGGGCATGCATGTCCACTGTTCTTGGTCTTGACTGGTCTCCTGAGTATTTGGTACATAATGGGAATTATATTTTCTGCTGTTATCTTAGATTTGGTTCTAGAAAAGCAGCCATTCTTTTAAGCCCTATTCCCCCTTAATAGTTCTAAGTGTTTTTTGTAGCACAGAAAGCTGTGCGTTTTTTTTTTGGCTGTTTTAAAAAATGATTCCGAGGATTTGCCTGAATTTGCTACTTCAGCAGAGGTGTTAGGAGAGAAAGAAAACATTTTCAAGCTTTTGCGTTCTTTTTAAATGTCTCTATGGCAATTGGGGAGGGAACGTGCCTTTTTGCAAAATGAAAGAAACTGATCACAGGGGGAAAATGTCTCAAATTAAGTCTCCTGTTTGCCCTCACCGCTCTCATAAACAAAATGACCAGTTGAAGATGTGAATGACCAGGCTTTTTCCAACTAGGTAGAACTTGGGAAGATATTTCAAGGTCAGGTGGTAAGCAAGCACACCTGCGACTTTAATGTGGCTGAGTTTTCATGGGGGGAACTCATCGGAGGCCGCAGCCGACGGCTGCACGCTCTCCCCATCACTTAGGGCTTGGCCCGCAGACGCTGCCCTCCCAGCTCACAGCCTGCTGTCCCTTTGCGGTTTTTCTGGACAGGCTCTCCCGCGGGAGGAGGCAGCTGGCCTCGGACTCACGTGTGTGCACATCAGAAAAAGCCGTGCGGCTTCCGGGGCAGGCGGCCGGATTGGCACGTGCGGCTCCAACTGGGCTTTCCTCTTCACCTGCCCACTCAGCTGGGTACCGGCCGTCACATCCGACACAAGTGGCTTGGCCACAAGGCAGCCCCGACACCTGTGTCTGCCTCCCTGTGGGGACCGCTGCTTCCTCAAGGGATGTGTTGGCGTAGGGAACGAAATGGGGGCGTTACCTCTGAAAAAGACTCGAGTGAGATCTCCGTTGCGTTGGGTAGTCAGAGACTTGATTTTTTTTTTTTTTCTCCACGTGGGAAAGTGTTAGATCATAGATTATCCTCGGACAGGCGGGATTGCAGTTCTTCGCAGGCGATTCTCATTACAGATCGTATTTCTTCTGTGTGATCCACACGTGAGCATTCAGTCGATTAATTGGTTGATTTTTATTGAAATTTAAAATTCGGATTTTTATATGTGTATATACGTATGCGTACACATATAAATATTTTTTACCATATGAAAACCGCAGTAGCTGATTTTCTGATTTCTTATTTTGTAATGGAGTTATGTGGGCTAGAAAAAAAATATTAAATGTTTTATATTCTAGAAAATTTATTTTTGAAGTACCTTTTTCTAGTGGTCTGATCTCACTCAGAAAACGGAAGCACAGGAAGCGGTGGGCCTGCTTCGTGAGAACAAAGAGGAGTAGAAGCCCCTATTGGACATTTCGTGACACTGCTTGGTCCCCGTGCATTTCTAGTCAGTGCTTTTTTGGGGGGAAATGGCGTTTGTGGACTTCGCCGCAGACAGGAGAGCATTCTGAAGTTTTATCCATTTTTTTTTTTTCTCTTATACCTCACTACAGAGTAGCATCTTCCCTGAAAGGTTTGTCCTGACCTTTTAGGAAAGAATGACCACGAATCACATCGGAGCGTTAAGTGTCAAACATAAAATATTTACATTTTGCAGCATCAGCTGTTTTTCAAGTATTACCCACGAGTACAGAGCTAACTTTTGTGAGGAGATGATGCAGCTAAGCTTTGGGGGGGTTTTCAGAACCACAGTCCCTATGAAGGGAATAAGAGCGTTCCCGGGAGTCATGAAAAATGAGAAAGGAAAAACGAGCAGCCTCCCCCATGTAAAGAGCTCTGGGAAATCGCTTGTTAGCATGTAGGCGAGCGTCACGAAACGGGCGTGTCATTTCTAACAGCTGGAGGCGGCAGCAGCGGAACTGGGCCCTCTGTGCCCTTTCTTACCTCGAAGGACCTCTACTCACAAAGTTTTATCAAGAGTACCAATAGAATCATTTTACACTTATTTTTTAAAGTCGATTTTCTTTTGGGGATCAGAAGTGAGATAACCTCATTATATTTATGATATGGCAACGTGTTTTTAAATGACTCGAAGTAGACTCTTAACAGATTATATTTTACTCAAATGTTTGTCCCCACCCCCAGACAATTTAGTGAGTCCCTCTTACGGGCCAAGTGCCGTCTGTCAAACTAAACACAGTGTGTTAACCCTCAAAAGCTCCATCCGTCTTTCTCGAGGACATGCTGTAGAGACCGTCCCAGAAAATGAAGATGCGATGATACTGCTCGGCCTTTGGATTAACTATTTGAATCTGTCAGCGTCAACGTGAGCAAAAAAATGGAATGCTGCATAACATGTTTTAAGCATTATTATAAGTCCTGCATTAACAGTTCGTGTGTCTGCTGCTCTGTTTTTGAAACACGTTTGTATATAGATATAGAAGTTGGAGTAAATTTTGTTAAATAAAGCAACTAAAATTTTCTCTGCCCTTTCATTTCAAACGTTAAGCAGGGTGGCAGTTACACAACCTGTCTTGTACATTTCTGAACCACGTGAGGTCAAGGCAGCCTCGTTGAACACAACACAACACAGGTGCTTTGAATGCCACCGGGATATATTTTGAATTAGATGCGCTGCTGTTTATGCACGGGAACCCTGCAGTGAGGCCAGGTCTTTCTGCTTCGGCTGAAATCCGCAAGAGATGCTGGTTTGGGCAGCAGGGTCCCTTTTTGTGCCATGGTCAGTGGCCTCTTAGGATATATGGGGCACCTGACCTGCCCTCCACGTGCAGCCTGTCAGCTGGGAGGGGGGCCTGGGCGGGAGTCCTGCCTGAGCAAGTGACGAGCCTCCCGGACCATGTGCATGTAGCTGCGCGGCTGATGCCATCTGTCCTCATGTGACTGATCCCACACGTTTGGGAGGGAGGAGTAAGATTTGGAGAGGGCTGACTTACCCCGTATCATCCCGGCGCCCACGGAGTCCAAAAGGGAAAAGAAGAGAATTGGACTCCAGATGAAGATTGGCAAACCCCGAGGACAAGACGACGCGACTTGCTTAAATTCAGCAACTGGGCTGGTGGTTAGCTGAGCTGCAACGAGTCACTATCCTCTAATCCTACAGAGGGAGTAAAGTTATCACCTTTGGTTATGTAGGGAAGAGTAACGATCAAATCAGGCAGTGCAGGGTTTGCATTAGGCCAGGACTGCCAGGGCTGGCTACGGGGTGAACGGGAAAGGGGCTGGGGCAGAAACTGACTGCAAGGCCGTAAAGGCAGGAAGTGGCAGTCACTCGTCCACATTTGATTAGGACGGAAGCTTAAGCTCAGATTAACGTCACCTGATTCACCAAGTTTACATGCAGATGAGTGAAATAATCTATAGGACAGTGTTTTGGCAGGAAGCACCATAGTGCCTCTCATCACTATAAGGCTCTTGGCAACACGTAAAGCCATGGGTTGCCACAGGTTACACTCGGCATCAGTTACCTTAAGTTCCAACTCGAATCAGACACACTAGTTGGGATGAGATACCGTGCTAAGGAATTTGGACTTACCCCAGAGCTGATAACTGCGAGCCACGTATGTAATCTCAGCTTTCCAATAATCACATTTAAAAGTAAAAAGAACGGGTGAAATTATATATGACCCAATACATCTAAAATGTTAAACATTTTTAATCAACAAAGTACTAAAATATTTCATGTCTATATAAGAAATACAAGTATTACAGTATTTTTAAATGAAGTTCAGAAATCTGGTATTTTAAACTTAACGGTATGTTTCTATTTTGGTGCTAAATTGTCACTTATAATGGGACCGTACTCCCACATAAAACGAGTCGTGTGGAATTTTAGATTGCTTGTTTTTAAATTTAAAAGTCAGTCCTTGAGTCACCCCGCCCACGTTTGACGTGTCCGTGACCACGTGTGTCTACTGGCTGCCGTATTAAGCAGCACGAGGGGAAGCAGGTGTGTTGTAAATACTAGCTTTCCGCCTGAGCCTGATGTTGGAAAGATTGAATTTTATTTCTGCATCTCTGAAATTAGGGTAGACTCAGACCCAGTCAGGGAATGCCAGTTCTGGGCCAGATTCTATACCAATTGTCCAGCAATTCTATTCCTAGGTCTAATACCTTAAAGAAATTGTTACACCTGTGACAATTTGTGGTTATTTATTTTGCAACTCTAGTCAACCAAGCAAATGTTTATTTCTCACTCACACTGCACGTCAACAGGCTGTCAGGGGCCTGGTCTGATGGGGCTGTCTTGTCTTGGAGCTGTGGCATTAGAGCTGTGGCTTCTCCATCACTATAATGGGGGAATCGAGAAGGGTGGGTGCTGCACAGGCAGAGAGCCACACAGCACTTCCACTCACGGCCTGGCGCCCAGAAGAGGTCCCACGGCCCCCCAAAAAGGCTCGGCAGCCCCCGTCTTGGTGCACGGAAGAAGCATGTTCACCACTAACGCTCTCCAGCACCCTGGGTCAGAGGCTGCGTGCTGGGCGAGTATACATGGCAGTCACCTGTGTGAACGGCAGCTTGCGAAACGGTGACAGCCAGCTGAGCTGGTGAAGATGGGACAGACAGGATCTTCCACATCGTCTGCTCTTGAAGAGGCAACGTGCTGTTCTCATTTTCGTTCCTCTGATTCCTTTTGCAAGTGTTTATTGGACATTTTCGTTTTCTGTGTACGGCCTGTTGGCAGTTCGTCCATTTACTATTGATTTGTTTTAAACTTTTCAAAGGAAATATAAATATTCTTAAAAATCGATAAAATTTTTTGGGGGGGTTGGTGCTTTTTATGCTTCATTTTAGAAATCCTTTCCTACCTTCTAGGTCAAAACAATAGTCTTTTCTATTAAATTTAATATTAAAAACTTCAAATCGATAATGGACACAATAAAATACAAACAGTCAGTTATACACTTTGTAAAAATCTTTTTCAATAGAATCTGGGCCCAGTTTTTTTTTTTTTTAATACAAAAAAAATGCCTAAAGCATGTTAGTCATATGCTCACACGAGTCAGTCCCAGGTAACTTAGTTGTCCTAACGTCGATTTTTGTAGTGTGTGCTTTTTTCCCTGGATCTATGGATTTGTGTGTGTGTGTGTGTGTGTGTGTGTGTGTGTGTGTGTGTGTGTGTGTGTGTATGGCTGGGTCTCTGTGCTGCTGCATTACGCTGTTTCTTGTAATTTTTCAGTTAATTCTAATAATACAGTTTACCAGCGACAGATGTATTTACAGAGTGGAGAGACTTCCCCTAGCAGATATTATGAAGCTACAGTAATGGCCTTGGCTGCTCTTGGCTCTTCATATGCATTTTTAAATC